GGGAGTTGCGGTCTCCGTCGGCTCGGTAACCGCACCGGAGCCAGTGTGAGCAAGGGGTAAGACCTTACAGCTGACAGTGCAGGCCAGAGCAAACAAGAATCATGAGCTCGAAGAAACTGCCCAAGGAACTAAGAAACATAATTGTGGCAAGGTACAGATCTGGCCAAGGTTACAAAAGGATTTCTGCAGCACTCAAGATTCCTAAGAGCACAGTGGCCCCTATAATCCTTAAATGGAAGAAGTTTGGGAGGACCAGAACTATTCCTAGACCTAGCCATCCAGCCAAACTGGCCAATCATGGGAGAAGAGCCTTGGTGAGAGAGGTAAAAAAGGACCTAAAGATCGCTGTGACTGAGCTCCAGTGATACGGTAGGGAGATGGGAGAGTTGCACAAAGTCAACTATCACTGCAGCCCTCCACCAGTCGGAGCTTTATGGCAGAGTGGCCGACGGAAGCCTCTCCTCAGTGCAGGATATATGAAACATATAGAGTTTGACAAAAAAAATATGAAGAACTCCCAGCCTATGGCTACGTTCACACTGCTGCCTGAAGTGACCCAAATCCGATTTTTTGGCCCACATGTGACCTGGATTTGATCTTTTCATGGCAGTCTGAAAAACACAGATCCGATTTTTTCCAATCCGACCCACTTGGCTATCTGGTCCTGAATCCGATACGAATCTGATCTTTTCAAGTGTGACCTGTGTCTGAACGGCCAGGTCCCGTCCATCCGACCTGAACGCCATTAATACCCGACAGTGGTCACTATTCTGCATCTTGCTACGCAGAGGCAGCTAGAAAAACAACAACCATGGCAGATAATGATGCGGAGAGCAGTATTTATGTTTAACCATATTGAGAAGATTGAGTTTTTATGGTTGGAAAAGACCGCTAGATGCACGCCGAAAACACAGAGCAAGCTGGCCTGTAACGTCATTTAGTCCTCTACTGCGCATGCGGGACACTTGCATTATATGACTGCAATTCACACAGGAGATCACATACAAGTGGCATAAATTTGGAAATATGAATGGCAACGCAAAAAAATATCGGATTTCGCAAAAAGAAAATTGGAATTCAGCATCAAGGCCTGCAGTGTGAACGTAGCCTATGAGAGAAGATTATCTAGTCCGATGAGACCAAGATTGATCTATTTGGCATTAATTTTAAGCAGTATGTGTGCAGAAAACCAATATATATGTATATTTTTGATGTTCTTCTGTTATTTTTCCTTTCCTTCTGTCTTTGTGGCCTGATAGTTCTGATG